CTTTTGCTTTTCATTTAAAATGAACAAGTCCTCTAGATTCATCCATATTCAATCTGTTGAATGCCCCCCAAGCCTACCAGGCTTGGGTCTTCAACAAGAAAAAGAAGTCAAGACACAGATCTTGATTGTATCATAAACAGTTTAATTCTCAGCAGTCAAGTGAGCAATTACAGAATAAAAAGTTTTTTGTTGTGGGGAACACAGATCTTTTATAGGAATCAGATTTGGGGTAACCAAGGAATCACCATAGATATTTTACTAACAGAAAGTAACTACGGACGCAGCAGGTTGCTTCATTACCTCACCAACTCTGGTGCCTGAAGACCGAAACGAAACTAATTCCTAGGAGACCTAATTAATAATGGCAGCACAGCCTGTCGACTCTGACCACTGAAGCAGAGAGCTCAGAAGCTCTTAAAGTGGCACTCTATTTATCTCCAATGCTTATGGCAAGCATGGCTCCCGACATCAATCCAGCATAAATAATCCAATAGTTTTGTTTATTTGCTTTTTTTTTTTTTTTTTGAGACAGGGTCTCCCTGTAGCCCCAGCTGTCCTGCAACTCACTATGTAGACCAGGCTGGTCTTGAACTCACAGAGATCCACCTGCCTCTGCCTCCCAAGTGCTGGGACTACAGGCGTGCGCCACCACAGCTGGCTCCTTTTTGTCTTTTTGAGACAAGATCTCCCTGTTGCTCCAGCTGGCCTGGAACTATGTGGACCAGGCTGGCTTCACACTCACAAAGATCTGCCTGCCTCTACCTCCGGAGTACTGGGATCAAAAACGTGTGCCACCACGTCCCGAATAATCCAATATTTATTGAAGATCTACTAGGTGTTAGTTTCCTATGCCCTAACCTATAAATATATGACAAAAAAATTGAAGCTGGGGGGGATGACTTATGTGCTTGCTGCAAAAGCATGAAGACCTGAGTTCAGGTCCCCAGAAATCATGTAACTGCTGGCCCAGCCCTGTGGAGATGGAAACAGGAGTATCCCAGGGGCTTTCTGGCTAGCCAGTCTGGCCAATCAATGAGCTCTAGGTTCAAGGTTCAGGGGGATTTTTGTTTTTGTTTTTGTTTGTTGGTTAGTGATACAGAGAAGCAGGGATATGGAGGTAAGAGAAAAGGGATGGCTGCCTTTCATTATAAGCTTAATAGAATTAGTTGACTTTTTTTTTTTTTTTTATCTTTTTTGAGACAGAGTCTCCCTATAGCCCCAGCTGGCCTGGAACTTGCTCTGTAGACTAGGCTGGCCTTGAACTCACAGAGATCTGCTTGCTTCTAATCTCCTGAGTGCTAGGATTAAAGGTGTGGGCCACCACACCTGGGCATGAGAGAATGCTTTTTAAAATTAGTGTTGGGGGGGGGTCTGGAGAGATGGCTTTCCCATGGGCAGTGCCATGGGACAGGCACTGGTAGACCAGAGGGAGCTCTACCTGAGCCTGTTCTACCCAACTGAGGGACTGCAAGGTGTATGGCTATGTGACCAACTCCAGGGTAAAGTTTGTCATGGTGGTAGATTCCTCCCAACATAGCCCTTCAAGACAATGAGATTCCCAGTTGTGGGAAGCAGGCGCGGTCGAGCCGGCCAAGATGTGTTCCAGAAGCTCGTAACTCCTACATGAATGTGATGTGCAACCCATTCTACAACCCTGGAGACCGAATCTACTCAAGAGCCTTTGATAACATGGTGACATCTATGATGATCCAGGTCTGCTGAGTGGGAGCTCTGCTCCAGTCACCTGGAAGAGAAGTGTGTGTGCACCCCTATTTGGAGATGACTGTTCCCCTCCCTGAGTGTAACCTTTGGACCTTGTACTCTGTGCCTCTCCACTAAAGCCTCATGAGATAAGATCTGCTTTGTCCTTATATATCAGCAGAGGACTCAGCTGAGGACCTGGTAGGGACCAGATATAGCAGAAAGTATGTTCTTAGTAGATGTGAAGGGGCTGGTATAGGGTGCCTGGGGCCCAGAGACTCTGACGTTGGGTAGGAGTTGTGACCACAGCCAGGCTCTATAGGGGAGGGCACTGAGTACAAGAAGACTGGTGAGAGTTGGGAGGAGCCCAGAGCCAGCATGTAAGTAGAGATAATCCAAGGCAAAAAGCCACATACCTTCCTCCTTGGGCAAGAGCCCTCAGCATTTTGGACTCACCATCCATTGGGGGCATCTGACCCAGCACCTGTGCATAGCCCTGGCCTCAGAAGTTGGTGAAATTTGAAAAGCTCGTGGGCCACAGCATTGGATAAACTGCTGCTTTCCAAGTGCCAAATGAAAAACTCCAGGAACCTTTCCTGTCTGTCAGTGTGCATGGAGATCAGCAAGGTCCCCCATGCTGCTCCCAAGTCATGCATCCTTAAGGACAAGCCAGGCTCTCTCCAAATAATGGCCCTGTGACTACATGGATGTGGTGGCTGTGACTGACTCCCCTGTGTTGCTGAACAGTGTGGCTAAGTGATGATGTCCCAGGAGGTGGCAAAAGGCCTAGAGAATCCCACCCTGGGCTGAGGCCCCTTCAGAATATGCTATTCGGTGCTGTCTTCAGAGACCCTGGCTACCCTGAGTCACAGACCATGGATTTCCCTCCTCTACAGTGTCCCACACTTGGTTCCAGCAGGCTGTGGGCTGTCCACATGGGCTGGCTAGAGTAGGATGAGAGAGCCAATCTCTGTGCATACCATTGCTTCCCTCTAATAAGCACAGAGTTTAAAAATGCTGAAAGAGGCCAGGCCTCCCACCCAAGATAAGCAGCAGATGGAGCTGGGCTGAGAAGTTCAACAAGCCACTGACTGACACAGATGGAGCCCCGGCCTGCTCCTGTTAAAGGCTTTATCAGGAGGTCGGGTTTGGCAAGGAAAGGAAGGGACACCAGTGAGGTAGAATCTTGGGATCTTGAGTTTTCATGGGAGAGTACCCTGCCTGAGCACTGGCTACAGTGGGGACTCCATCATGTCCCCAGTACTCCTCCCTTTCTTCCTCACTGACAGAATCCAGATTTACTGGAGACAGTTGGCTAAATGTCATTTGTTCCCCTCACTTGCACACCAGGCTAGGTAGTTAAGACATGTGGTAGTGTTGGGAAAGACCTGCAGGAAAGATCCTTTATTTATTTATTTATTTTTTATTTTTGGTCTTTTTGAGACTGTCTCCCTGTAGCCCCAGCTGTACTGGAACTCACTATGTAGACCAGGCTGGTCTTGAACTCATAGAAATCCGCCTGCCTCTGCCTCCTACTCAGGAGGGATTAAAGGTGTGTACCACCACGCCCGGCTGAAAGATCCTTTAAAAGTGGGTTCAACTGACATACAGAGTACCTTTTACCTTCTTTGGAAGCTGGATGTGACAGCTGGCACTCAGACAGCCCTCTTGAGAGCATGAAGATAAGATTTACACCATGAGCATGGAGATTCGAGGAAAGAGCCTGGGTCTTGACTGATGAGTTGGCCCTGGACTACTCAAGTTCAGCCTTTCATGTCTGAGGCAATAAAGCACCCATTTCCTTTTTTTTTTTTTTTTGGTCTTTTTTGAGACAGGGTCTCCCTGGAACTTGCTATGTAGACCAGGCTGGCCTCGAACTCACAGAGATCTGCCTGCCTCTGTCTCCCAAGTGCTGGGATTAAAGGCATGTACCACCATGCCCGGCCCATTTCCTTTTAAAAAAATAAAACTTAAATTAAATTAATATTAGGGGTTTCTAACTCATACTGAACTGAGTTTAGAGAAGCCAAAATAGTTGAACTTAAAAGTCTGAATCTGCTGTTTAAGAAAAGTTGTGCTGAAGGGATGGTTCAGTGGTTAAGAGCACTACCTACTCTGGTTCCAGGGTATCTGATACACAGGCATTGCATGACACAGGTACACTTACATACATGTACATAAACCACTCATATACAGCCAGGTGTGTGGGCACATGCCTTTAATCCCAGCACTCAGGAGGCAGAGGCAGGCGGATCTCTTGTGAGTTCAAGGCCAGCCTGGTCTACATAGTGAGTTCCAGGCCAGCTGGTGTTACAGAGAGATCCTGTCTCAAAAAAAGATACCCCCCCAAAAAAACTCATATACATAAAATAACAATATTTTTGTTATTATATGATATTGTTAGTTGATAGGCTCCTAAAGAATTTAAAACATTATAAATAGAAAAAAAATTTTTTGGTCTTTTTGAGATAAGGTCTCCCCGTTGTTCCAGCTGGCCTAGAACTCACTATGTAGACCAGGCTGGCCTTAAACTCACAGAGGTCTGCCTGCCTCTGCCTCCTGAGTGCTGGGATTAAAAGCGTGAACAACCACACCCGGCCATAAATAGAAATTCTTTTCTGCTAATTCATTTGGTAAGGACTTAACAATTATCTGGCCCAGTTATGTAGAAACTTGGTTGTTAAGGCCAGCAAGTACATATATCTACATATATCAGTAAGTGAACAGTGAATAATTCTTGGAATTATTAAATTCTAATAATTAAGCCAGGTGTGGTGGTACACGCCTTTAATCCCAGTACTCAGGAAGCAGAGGCAAGTGGATCTCTGTGAGTTCAAGGCCAGCCTGGTCTACATAGTAAGTATCAGGCCAGCTGGGGCTACAGGGAGACCCTGTCTCAAAAAGACCAAAAAATAAAACAAATAAATTCTAATAATTACTTTGAAATATAATTAAAAGTTCTTGGGAAATGATTACTTCTTTTGTTCCATATTACAACCAGGGATCATTTTGTTCCAAATTAATTTTTTCCATAGGAAGAAAAAACTGGTCAGAGGCCATCTGATGCCAAAGAAATAAAACTCTATGCCCAGATTCCCCCAATAGAGAAGATGGATGCATCCTTATCTACTCTTGCTAATTGCGAGTAAGTTCTCCTTTCTTATCCTTCTACCATTGTTAAAGTTTTCCTTCCTTTTCTTATACAAACTAGAAAAGTATTTGTTTCTGTGTGGTTCAGGAGGAGTCTTTTTTTTTTTTTTTTTTTTTTTTTTGTAAAAAGTTTACCCTATAGCCCCCG